GACAAAAAAAGTCGCGAAGAGCCAATACAGTGCACATAGTACATTGACGTGGTGGAGGAAAGAAGGAAGGAATTTATAGTGCATCACACCACGATAACCACTTCACCTTACTCCCAGATGTTTTGTCCTTTTTTGTTGTTTAATTTTGTCGAATACATCCAAATTGACCTGCCTTTCGAGGTCTTAAAACTAGGTCCGTTCCGGTTACGTAGACCCCATTAACATTTTAACGGTACAAATATGTACACATAGCATTATTATGATAGTTTTCACATATATACCCTCTAGAGTGCGATTTACAATTTTTATCGCGCCAATTCTACATCAACACAGACTCTTACACTCCATAATTGTTATTGTAATATAGTTAAAGTTCGAGTTGTCAAAGTGCAAATTGACTGCAACGCTTCAATATTTTTTTCTCACCAATCCGAAGTGCGTTTGCCACTTGTTGCTGCTGCTGCTACTGCTGCCACTGCTGCTATTAGTATTTGCTTAGCGAAATCCATTTGTACGAAGATGGTGCGCTTGGACAGTAAATCTCAACCTTCTTCGGAAACTGATGAACTGCCTACACACTGCGAAATGAGCGACCAAAGCCAAATGTGAAAAGCGTCAACTGAGCGTTCGTTATATCGCTGGACGATACACCAAGCCCGCCATGGTTGGCCGCCTGGGAAAATTAAGTTTTTGCCCGAACGCCATTGAGTCCAAAGAAGAAGCTGCACACAGGCAGGTACGTGTGGTTAGGTATGCACTCGCGTATGCTTTGGCAAGCTGCGGACAGCAAGCGGTGTGGCTGTGTTGCAGGCGTCAGGAATGCAACAACATTTCACGAGTATTTCGCACCTTCGTTGACAGCGCGCGCATGAAAATGCACGATGCGACGAGAAAATGATGAGCGATGCGCGGTATGTGCGCAACTACAGCCATACACACATACTCAATACTATAGGCGTGTATTCGCGCGGTGGCAAGACGCGTTGCGTCGCACGCACGAGGAAGATCCGCTGCAGCCCAAAGCGTAGTGGCTGTGAGAGGTTCGCGCCTGCGCGGTGTAGTGTCTTTATCGATTATGAATTCCACACACGCGTTCGTGGTCGTCTGCAAAACTTGGCCATGCAACAACAACAATAAAAACAAATGCTTCAATTACCAACTGCTGGCCGGGTGTCAATGCGACTCTGTGCAAAACTCGCCTGCCATACTGTTGTTGCTCGTACCACTGCCGCGGCCACGGCGTGTAAATTATGTGTTGTGTTTTTAGTTGTTGTTGTTGTTGTTGTTGCTGTTGCTGTTGCTTGTAGATAGTTAGTTTTATTAATATGACTGCGTTTTCGTTGACACCTCGTTGTTGTCGTTTGTATGGTTGTTATTGTATTGCGCCATAAGAACGTACAGCAGTGTGGTTGTTGTAAGTTTTTGCTGTTCCACCATGGTTGTTGCTACAATTGCACTTGCTCCACTAGCTGTTCTTGTTATTGTCATCAGTCAGCGCAGTTGTCGTCGCTGGCACTTTCCTCTGACACTTCTTTGGCGCGCGAGTTAATTAAACGGCACTGCTGATTGGAACGTTTTCATGGCGTGCGCACGCTGACTGCCGCGGCGGCGCGCACTCGCCGGCCCCTCTCGCCCAGCTGCTGCGCGCTCATCATCATTTGTTCAACGCTTTACCACACTGCACTGCGCGCCGCTGTTGGGGCGCGTTGCGTCTTGGTTGCTTGCGCGCTGATTTATTCAGTGTGGCAGCTACTGGTGTGAGACCACCAGCCGCGCGCCAGCTCCATCAGCTCCATGCTACAGTACACTACGGCAGTTGCAGCAGCGGTAAACAGCACTGTCCGCAAAAAGTCGTTGCTGAATGTTGTACGCACGTGTTCATGCGTGTATGTGTGCTTGTGTGCGCGTTTATCGGCTTGTTCGTCGGTTGGCTGTGAAATAAGTTGTGCAGCAAAGTGTTGAATGTAATGCACTTTTTCATTTGCTGAAATTTTTTCTCAAAGTTTACACCAGATTTGCACAATTCTCAGGCATTGTAATGATTCGTATCGCTTCCATAGAAAATCTATCCACACATACATGCATAGTACATACATAATAATAGCGCATACTTATTCATATCCTCTTCTATGGGAGTGGCCGCAGTGAGGTGCTGCTTCAGACTATTGATTAAAGGTGAAATGGAAAGTTATATTTAAGTATTATGAGCATGTGCTGGCGTGTGTATGTGCGCCTTGGTATATTCGACGATATAAATTCTTTAGTTATGCATTTTAAGATTTACCTAATCGAGATCCGCTTAAAAGTCTAACACTGGAAAGCGAAGAATTCTATTGTTGGTTTTATTTGGACTGTTCCCGATGCACGGCTACATGTGTGCTCATTATTTGAATTATAGCAATAACAGCTGTGGGAAAAGAAATCATAAGGTTGAGTTTGAGCGTTCACACATTTTCCGTAAGACTGGCACCAGCACCTTAACCGAAACTTTACCACTTGTACATAGTGTGACAATCAATGTCTGATTCTGCGATGGGAATGGAATGATCGGCGCACAATAGATATTAGCTATGTGATGATATTGATATTATTGGTCTGGTTGTAAACGAGGGCAAGCCGAAATATCTCCTGTCATCAAATAAGCAGTAGTCGCACCCGTGGCTTGGCTCCCACGTCACTGTTGACAGTCATAACTTCGAAGTCGTAGATAATTTCGTCTATCTTGGAACCAATGTAAAATAACTTTTGCCCAAAAATGCTACTTTGGACTTAGTAGGCAATTGAGAAGTAAATTTCTCGCTCGATGAACAAAAATCAAGCGTGATAAATTATTCATTATTACTGTTCTGCTTTATGGTACAGAGGCGGTGCTTACGCCAATAAACAAAGCAGGCCGCAGGCTTTTAACGATTTTTTTAAAGACGTTGTTATGTACAATTATGTTATGACTGCGTTTGCTGGAATTAGAAAACATCGGATGCTTGAATCAACTTATGAGCTTCTGAAAGTTTTTTTTTCATGTACACAAGTGCTTTTTTTCTTTTTTTTCGAATTATACTGCTATTAGACATAAAGGTTGGTTATCTCTTATTTTGTTTACAACTCATAAATATACTAATATACCAAGATTGGTGCAACATTTTTTGTATTTATTTCAAGTTAGATCTCTTTATATACAAGGTGCGTTCCACAAAATATAGAACTTAAAAAAAAACAGAAAAAATTATTTTTTCGGCAAAATCAATTTATTTTATTCAAAATAGTCTCCTCAAGACAGCTTTTTGCCGTCAGTATTCCGGTCCAAGCCTTTGAAAGGCCTCTACGTCTGCATAACGCTTTCCTTTTATGGGCAAATGCATTTTTTCAAAAAGAAAGAAGTCTCGCGGTGCCATACTAGGTGAATACGGGGAGTGGTTAATGGTTAAAATGTGATTTTTAGTCATATAATCGGTCAGAAGCGTCGATCGATGAGACGCCGTTTTTGGTCGTCAGTCAATTTGTGCGGAACAAACCGTGCACACACCTTTCGTAAGCCTAAATATTCGGTCAAAATGCGATAAATCGATGTTTTGGAGATGTTCAATTCCATTTCCATGATTCACGCAAAGTTTCGATGGAATTTTCGGTGATCGCGGATTTTGATCGATGCACATGTTGATCGTCATTTATGACATCACGACCACTTTGAAAACATTGAAACCACTCGTGAACTCTTACGTTTCGGTAAAAGTTTTACCAATTTCAAAACAAAAGTTGAGCTCTTTGCTTGAGCATATTTTTCACTACACGGGAAGTATGCGCAAAATCGAGATCGGTGCACTGAGGGTCTTGCTACCGAATGAAATGTGCACCAGGTTGGAGTCTATCTTGCTCTGTTCACGACAAAAAACAAATTGTGCTTACAAACTGGTCTTAACATCAATGAGATTTTGTTTAATTTTTTGGGTGTAACTGCCGCAGCATTTTTCGCACAAGAAAGAAAATCTTGCTCTCCAACTATGTTCAATAATAATTAGGGCACCACTCTCAATTTATTGCAGGAATCAATGGTTTTATTGGGACAACACTTGGGTGTGCAGATTATTTCACTTTTTGGGCCGGTCGATTGGCAACCAAGATCGTCTAATATCACACCGTGACATTTTTTCCTGTGGGGATATATTTCTAAAGACTAAGATCTATGCGCACAATCCCGGTTCGATTCGAGATTTGAAAAAAAAATATCACATGATTCTCGACTTACCAGTCGAAATCCTCGAACGACTTATAAAAAATTGGACCCAGCGGGTGAACCATCTGACGTACCCACGACCACATTTGAAGGAGATAATGTTCAAATAATAAATCACAAAAAATGTTCTTTCGAAAGATAATATAAATAGTCCATTAAATTTGAAATTTCTGAGCTTTTCTTTAAAACATTACTAACATTACATTATTATATATTATATTATTACGTAGTCTCCCCATCAGCCAGATTTGATTTCCAGGTACTTTTTCCTGTTTCCGAAACTCATTTAGTTGTGCCTGAGCAAGCAAAAAAACTCTGTGAAAGACCCTGCACTGACTCAAAAAAGCACATCTGGAATGTGGCAATATGGTTTTCTACAATAATAAATGCCAACATAGCTAGATAATTGGAGATACGGCTAGCTGACTGCCCATTGCTGCTAGTTAAACTATTCGAAAACACCTTCCATTTATTTTCATTGTGTCTACCAAACTAAAACAAAAAAAAAAAGAAATACTTTTCAATCAAACCAAATTTATTTAAGTTGAAATTATGTTTATTTGGGAATCCATTCACAAAATTAAGCACAAATAAGCGTTTAACTACACAGCTAATTTAACTATACAGCGCTCTTTCATTTCAATACGATCTTTAAGATACACAATTGAGTTCATTTACACATTTAAGTTAATAATATTATAATTTGCCTTTGATTTAATTACAATTAATATTTCAATAAATACTTTAAATTACACTCTAACGCCTCACTTCTTCCTCTCCTCTCTTTCCCTCTCTCTCTCATTATCTCATTAGTCAAGTTAGTTCACAACCTCTACATTATCATTGCAGTCGTCAGCGGCCAGTGCTTCGTTCTGTTGGCTGCGCGTCTCATCTGAGCTGTCATCACAACAACTGCTGCGGCTACTGACGCTCGAACTGCCGCTGCTGCCACTTGATTCGTCCTCCTTGCGCGGACTCGCACCTTGCAAGCGCATGCGCTTCTCCGGTTTCTTCAACAATTCCTCGATAGAGTAGGGATTACGCTTGCGGCAGTTGGTCACGCTGCCCTGTGCTGACTCCCTGCCGCTGAGGGAGCTAACTGTGGGTGCCGCGTTTAGCGACGTCGCTGGCGAAGACTTACCCGAATCACAGTCGCTAACCGCATCGCTGGCGCTATGTGACACCAAATCGATGGTGCCCTCGATGCTAAGTGTGCTGCCAATACCGCTACTGCTGCTACCACTACCGCCGGCATGGAAATAGGCTGGACACTGAGCTTGCGCGTAGGGTAAAAATTGACTGGCGGCCTGCGCGTGTTGCGTGGAGTAGTATAGCAACGAGGGATGCCACAGCCAGTGCTTGTGTAATGCTGTGTAGGTGAGATCCTGTGCACTGAGTTGACCCGATACGGCTGACGTAACTGTAGCTGAGAGTTGTGCAAGTGTCGAATTGCTACTGCCAGCGGCGCTTATTGCGGCCATATGCGCGGCGGCTGGATGCTTAGGCGCTGGTTTGATGGGCATATCGCCAATCGTGCCCGTAACGCTGGTGGTTGCCATTAAGCGTGCCTCTTGCGTTGCGTTGACATTTCCTCTAGCATGCTCATTGGCGGCTACCGCTGCAGCGGCGGCAGCAGCAGCTGCGGCAGAGCTATAGCGGAACTGTGCTGACAAGCTGAGCGGATGTGGTGTGTGGCCGACATGCGGATGAGCGGTCATAGCGGCGAGGTGGGAAGAAGCGTGTGCGTGGTGGGCTGTGCCCAAAGGCGGTAGAGCTGAGCGATGTACCAAAGTGGCCGTGGGTACTCTAGCACCGTCGGCTGTGGCTGAGCAGCCGGGAGCATTACTACTGCCGGCAGCAGCGGCAGCGGCCGCGCTATTCGCATAGAGATGAGCTTGCGTTGAATAGGCAACAGACGACATTTGTTGTGTGGCAGCCGCGGCGGCAGCAGCATTTTGCTGACTTGATGTCATCTCATCGGTCCAGAGACCGCTATTGCGCAATATTCTATTGATGGAGCTGATCGAGGGCACCGAGGAGGGATCACAAATGCGTTGCTGCTGCAATTGCTCGCGGATTTCCCAAGCAAACATGCCACTGTTCTCCTCCTTCAATCGTATGATTTTCTTGACCACGGTGGGCGTGGCGACTTGCTGCAAAGAAACAAGAGAAGATGCTATTATTTATAACTTGCACAGAGTTACACATATGGCATGTGGCGCCTGCAACAAAATATTCAATTAAATACCGTGAAATTAAATTGTGTACGCAATACATGCAAATTGCTAAGCTCAGGTGCAACACGCAAATCGCGACAAAACTTACACCGCACTGCTGCGAGTGCGCTTTCAAGTCAGCCGCCTGTACAGGATTTCCGCAACGGCAGCGCAACAATAGTCAAGTGCTAAGCGGCCACGCCTCAAACGAGTTCATGACGAATAGCAACGGAAATGCGCAAATATTTGCAAATCAATGCGCTTTCGTATAAACGGGTGCATGCTACGACATATGTGCTATATTTATAGATATATAGATGCATTATGCAAAACTGAGTTCATAAACATTGCTTCCCCACCAACGAAAGCGCCTTGGGTTGTACCTTACGTGTCACAGGTCAATTCATTAAAAATTCATAAAACGACAGTCAGCACGGGACTCTACGCCTACTAACGCCCCTACCAAGTTTAGCTATCACCACTACCTCCACACTTCAATGCTAACGCGATAATTTCCTTCCCCTGAAATTACAGTCGTTGCTATCCGCTTCGTTGGCGATGCTTATCAGCGCTCGTACACGCTATTCTAGCGCCCTTTTATAGTCGCTGCTATGCACGTGTTTAACCTGGTCCTGCTTGTATTATGACCTAACATAATGCAACAACAATCCACAAGGCTTCAATCAACATTCAATTGAGGTGTTAAACGCATACTTTGTCCGACCATTGTTGTCGACATGGCGTGGGGGGTGGAGAACAAATAAGAAGTCAGCGAGTAAATAATGTGTGCGCTACTGTGGCGCTGATTTCACCGCCGATTCCTCTAATAAACCACAATATAAACAAATGCGTTAATGTTCGTACAATAAAAGTTTACTAAAATCATTTCCTTTATTGAATTGTAATTGCTTTGCGTGAATCCCAGTAGAGTTCCGGGGCTAATCGTGGAACTTTGGAAATTATTTTCGCTGCGCTATTAATTAGGGTAGCTTGGGTTCTTTGATTGATGGTGTTTTCGAAAATGTTGTCCACATACTCATATAGTATGTACGGTAGTTTAGGTTAGGGTATTGAAGTTGTAGTAGAAATTGTTGGAAATTGCTTCAATTGTTGTGTTGTTTAGAAAATTGTAAAAATATTGTGGGTTAGTTTGAAAATAGCCGATAGTGATAAAGTAGATTATATTTTCTATTTGATTATCTGGGAAAGTTGATTCAAGTCTAGTCTGGCTAAGGGACTCCAGCTAATCTTCAGATTAAAGTTTGACATCAGATTTAAATGTAGAAATACGTCTCGAATTTACAAAAATAAAAAAAAAAAACAAAAAAAAGCTGTAGTCAATTGAAAAACTATTCAAAAATATGTTTTCGGAGTTTCATTGGTTTACTCCGAACAATTCATAGAAATAGACCTCAGAACCACTGCACTTTATTCAGCGCCTGTATAAGTATAAAAACTGTGAGGCTCGTTACCTTGAAACTAACTCTTTTTTTTATCCGGCCGGTAAAATTGCGAGCGAATTATTTAACCGATTTACTTGAACTAAAGCATATTTTATAGACAATTTTATACTCAAGTGCGTCATAGAGCGCTTTTCAGAGAAAAATGGCATTTTTACAGCTGCTTAATTATTATATTTTGATATCGGAAAACTCGTGTAAAATTGCTACATTTTACAAAATCCATCCTTAATTTTAGGAACTCTTAAGACCCCTCTATTATGCGAAAAACCCTACAAAAAAAAGCTGCCTAATTAAAAAACAAATTCATTTCAGATAAGAAGCAAACAATGTCAAACAACAGGATCGTTGATATCTCCGCTATTTTTTTAATTTTTTTTATTTTTTGACATGTAAATGATTTGTAGTTCAAAAATACTTCTTAATGAAATCTAAACTATGTACTTGTGCCGCTTCTTCAGTATATGCCATTCATTCGAGCAAAAGTAATTTTTTTCTTAAAAATAAGTCAAGCTTTGCCTTACTCAGCTTATAGCCCAAATAGCCACGCGAAAAAATTTTACGAATTGTTATAGAGCCACATTATACTTTCATGTTAGTTGTAAGGAAGGAACGCTGATTCGAAGAGATGATTAGCATAGAAAGTATAAACTACTCAGAAAGAAAAGAAACAGAAGGTTTCACCGTTAGAACTGTCAGAATGATTTAACAGCTAATATAACGGATGTTTTTTGAGACATGTTGTTTTCAAGGAATTAATAATTTTTTGTAGTTGTTCATTTTGACAGTTGTTACTTGATTCATACTTCGTTTGTATCCTCAAAATATTCTCACTGTTTGGTCCTTATTTCTTCAAAAATGGAGCCGACCATAATGTTGCACTCAGTGAGGCACGCTATAGAGCTATGATTGATGACTTTTTCGTGCCTGAATTGGCGGATGTTAAGGTAGACGACCTTTGGTTCCCACAAGACGGTGCTACATGTCGTACAGCCAACAAAACAGTCAATTTATCGAAGAAATCTAGTGGTGATCGTATAACCTCCCGACGTGAACGGCGGCATGGCTTCAATATCGTGCGATTTAGCGCCGCTGGATTAATTTTTATTTGGTCATTGCTGACATACGGTCCCAAGTGCGGGAAAAAGTGGTTAAAAATTTGGGATCAAGGCTCGAATTCACTCGAACCAGCTGTGCGGCGGTTCAAATAATTTTTTAAACATAATGCCATACCTTTATCATTATAATAAAGCAAAAGTTCTGGTTCACAGGAATAAATTATGAGTTTTAATTCTTCTTGAAAACCACATGTCTACAAAACATTCTTTAGTTTGTCCGATTCGCCATTATTTAGAGAGCAGCAAATGAAAAGCGGATCACGTTGTATGATATGAAGAGTCTTCTAGCATTTTAGGTTCTGTGGCAATATATGCATATAATGCATAAATATTCTTGTAAAAACCAAAATGTATTTGATAGACTAAAGAACTCGCAGTTCTGAAATTATTTAATTCTTTTGAATCTATGTTACAGATCTATGCAGATGGAGATATATACTTCTAACCATAAAATAATCACAAATTATCACAGATAATTTTTGTGCGCCTATGATATGGATATTTGTTCGCACACATGTAAGTATGAAAAGAAATTTACGAAAAAATCCGTGAATTACCTCATCACACTACATAATCTGCCACTAAAGCGCTGCACAGTTAGACAACAACCGATGTTGGACAAATTCATGGGCAGCGACATTAGGAAATATTGTCGTCCGTACATGTCGGGGGCGGTTGCGCCCGTTCCCATTGCGGTGGCTCAGCGTGGCTCACGGTGGACTTTGGCGTTGCCAAGTACATATAATTATTAGCTTATCACGGCGTTGTCAGATTACAGGTAGCAAAACAGTAGTGAATAGCTAATAGCTAAGTGCGACTGACACGATCGTAAATGGTGCGTTTCGTGGAGATTACGCTTGTCATAATTTACACACTTCGGGTGCATGTGTGCTGTTTGCTTATTGTTGCTTGCGCCGAGTAAGCGCACTTGAAGCGGGCGTGTGAACCGAAATGCTCAAGTGCAGCTGTTGAACAGGATTCGCCTGCTAATTGCGGCGCGTTATCGCGTTTAATAAACGAGATTGATTTGTAACAGTTATTGAGTACATAAAACAACAACAACAAACAACGGTGCAAATGCCCTGCTTGATGGGTGGTGGTCGAGGCCGCGCTGGTCGGGATGTTCGTGCGTATGTGCGCGTATTATTGTGGCTGTGACGCGAGCAGTTGGCACTTGAGGGCGCAGCGCGTAGGATCTCCGCGCTTTATGATGGCTACTAAATGTTTTATATTCTATTATGTGTTAGCATGTTAGCATGTCATGTCAGAACGTACAAATGTAAATAAATATAAACTACTTTGCGCATTAATTTCGCCGCGAAGTGATTTGTAAGCGTTGTCGATGTCGCAGTCGCAGCCAAAACAACATTCATCAACTCTCGACAGCCGGCCATTAAAATTTCGAATCAATATTTGTACGCGGCTGAGGAAAGTACAGGTTGTAAATACGTTATAGATGTCGGTGTGTACGTTGGGTTGTCTTCTAATAGGTGTGATTGTGTGTGCGTCAGTACAATTACGTCAGCAGTCGAATTGTGCGCTATTGCTTTCCACTTGATAACGGTACTAACCGAAATTCGGTTCTTATCAACAATTTCATTGAATTGTAGCTTACCTTGGTTTTGCTGCCACCAATCGAGCCCGGTCGTATGGAGCCAGTTTCATAGAACCGCGTCAAAATTTTCGAAACGCAACCTGATAGAAAGAAAAGAAATTATTGTAATTGTAAATTAATTTCTAGTAACATATAATCCTTCCGAATCGAAGGAACTATATCAATGCTTAAAGAGAGAGAGACGGCACTTGTGGTGCAACTCTGCGCAAAAGCTGATTTGTGTAGAAACTCGTTTTATAAATTACTATAATTGATTTTAAGTCTTAAGCTTTAGAAATACAAGAAAAAGTTTTATATTTTCATTTAAAACTGCCTCAAAGCATGCAACACAAAACTTGTTAGCATTGAATATAGCGCTTTTATGACTTTAATGAGTTATCCTCATAGTCTCTGATACGAATTCAACTTTTGTTATTGCTTTTACATTTAATTTTTTTTTAAGAGATCAGAGGTGAGCAGAGAAATGGCGAATCGAAGACAGCCAAGGATGCCTAGAACCTATCGTTCCAGTTGGTGCCGACATTTACGCTCTACAATGTGCCACTAACTGATGATAATAGCCACAGAAAGCTTCTTCAGCATTCGATTTGGCTAAAACTGAAAATAATGTGTGTTTCGGCTTTAGTTTACTTCCTTAGGTAAGCTAGTTATCATAATCCACTTTGTAAAACAACGAATCTTTGGCTTTTGGAAACATGAGCGATCTTTTCCCTACCAGAGTTCGCCTCTCAGCAGTCAATTTCAATAACATTAAACAAAGGGTTCTGAGATCTTCTCTTCTGTCTTGATGTGATTCAAAATAATATGTCAGTATTTGTACTGCTATGGGCAAAAAATAGTAAGACTTTGTTCATAATTTTAAAATTCTTTAATTATTCTTCACAATCTATGTTGTCCTTCTCAAAGTAATGCCTATAGCTATAATATACTTGTATCAACGTTTTTCCTAATTGTCGAAACTGTTGTTAGAGTTAATTTCCAGAACAACTTCCAATTCACGTAACGAAGCTAAATGAGGTGAATATTGTGGATGTCGCACGTGGTGAATATTGGTAGAAAATTTGGTGAAAAACTGAAGAATCGATGCAGTATGCGACAAAAACCAAGAGTTTTCGGCCCATAATTGCGGCTATTTTTTACGAATAGCTGCAAACAAAAGACGCATAACACCCATGTGGTATTCCCTTTTAAAAGTTTGTCTGGTGAAAAGAATTCGGAGTGCATCACACCTTGATAATTGTAAARAACAGTCAACATAATCTTGATTTTTGTGATGCTTTCACATGATTTTTTCGGTTTCGGCTCACTTTTGCCACGATTGATCGTCTGTTTCCGGGTCGTAAGCATAAATCCGAAACTCATCGCCAGTAATAATACGTTTCATGACACCTAGGTAGTCGCACAGCACGTCTGTGCAACTGACGTGTCGCTGTTTTTCGAACAAAACAAAAAAAAAAAAAAAAAAAAAAAAAAAAAAAAAAAAAAAAAAAAAAAAAAAAAAAAAAAAAAAAAAAAAAAAAAAAAACAGAGTGATCCTGGTCATAACTGAAATTTGATTCCCCACACAAAATTTGAACTAAACTTCTCTTTTGAATAATTTCACTCCACGTATGTATTTCAGAAAGACAAGCGTATACTAACCACTAATAATTATTTTCGCGTGATATTTGGCACATTGTCACTGACCAACTTTGAGATAACATATTTCGCCAAAGGGCCTTTCGCACAAACTTTTCATTAAAAAGGCTTACAATTTTTTGCTTACAGTATTCTCTTGGTATACTGCTTGAGAAAAATACTTACTCACTCTGGCTTCTACGGAAATAACAAAAATTTATCCAGTAACATAAATGGCATCACACCTCAATATATATTTATATAAAGAAAGTGATTTTTTTTTAATTCTGAATGTGATAATAAATATTCAACACTCACCATGTGAGACCAGCAATTGGCGTGATATGTCGCACGGTCGTACGCCACACAAAGCCAACTCGACAATGCGACGACGCACACAATCGGGCAGTGGACGACCATTGACAAAAACGCCGCCCAGCTGATTAACGCCAGCTTGACCTGAAGAGAAAGGAATTTTAGCAATTTAGATTAATGTATTTAAAAAATATTTTAAACTTATTTTATATTATTTTAGCGTTTGTGGGTTTTCTGTAGAGTTAGCAGCAATATCGTTGGACACCTTAGAATGTTGTTAGCCAGTTATATTAAAGATTCTTAACTTTTTTTTTAGTCTTCTATGACTTTTTAATTTATTTCTGAAGTCAAAAGTTACCCATCCAAACGCCCTATAAGCTTCTTTATTGTATTTAACACTTTGTTCTTCCAGAAACAATCATTCCACGGTTTTATATTATCAACACTATTTTTTGTTACTTCAGAACAACAAAATTTTCATGTACTATATGATATGATGGTATGATCAATATGGTCTTCTGATAAAAGAAGAATTATCTTGAAAGCATTGGAAATGTTAAATGGCTAATTTACATATACATGTGTATGTATTTTTGTGTAATGTTGTTGTTTTTGGTACAAACTCATTGTGACTCATTGAATTAGAGGCGCTGTGGTAGCAAGTGCACGTCGGCGATAAGCAATTTTTTTCATGGCAGATTTAGAAAGGGATTGTGCGCGATTAGCAGCAAGCAGACCAGACAATCGACAAACATACCATATAGTTGTATACAACATGTACCTCTAACATACAAAAGAAGGAGTGAATAAATTACACAAACATTTACACTAAATCCACAACAAATCGCCGAAAATACTGAAAGTCCGCAGCCAAGCAAAGAATAGAGTTGTCTAAACGCAAACTAATTTTTAAAATGATAGCGACTGATTTCCAAACTGATAAAATCATTAATGACGTTGTCGCCATCACGACAGAGCTCTTTGTTGCAGGAGTTTTCTGTTTTGTTATTGTCTCTGTGCCATACTTGTTAGAGCAGGTGCTGTCCGCTGCTATGCCTCGGGTGCTAATCGTTTTTATCTTATTATTAAAATCCGCTATTTAAACAAATTTTTATTATGTTAATAGTTACTAATGTGTAGCGATAACGATCTGACATGTCAACCGTGGAGGCTTAGGTGGTTGGTGGCTGCTACGGAGGCAGCGACAGGTGCGCTTGCAGCTTACTTTGTGACTGAAAGAGCTGAGATAAAGCGTTAATTGCGCTTAATTGTTGACGATTCATGTCTCGTGTCATAAGTCATGCCGAGCTTATCAGCTAGTTATCAACACTTCTTGGCTGCTGCAGTGACACATACCCTTGACAGGGAATGCCTAGTTTGATACGTAGTTTGTAACATTGGTTTCTCCGTAAGCGTTATGTAAGAATTTGTTATCCAAAAGTTGCGAGTAAAGAGCTTTTTGAATGAAACATATTTCAGTCAACTGTTCTTTATGTTTTTTTAGTTCTTTGTGAGACAATCGACTCCTTCACTCCAAGACATAATTATTCACTGAGTGTTGTGTTCGGCAGTTTTCAATACATTTTTACGATGAGTGATCTAAACTGACCCCGTAGGCGCATTCGCTTAATTTTACAACTTCCCTGCGACAAGCGCAATGCAAAAGCGTTCAACTTCAACACGAGTAGATACAGAAGCGTTGCGAAAACCGTGCCACCCCCCGTGCAGTAGCGCATTCTGGTGTAAAGCAATTTATGTATGTATGAGCATATGTAGCATCTCCGAGGTGAATGCACAAAAAGCAGCAAAGTGAATTAGTCGAGGAGTTGGGGAGTGTCAGCTTGGTGTGAAGTAACTTAAATGCTTCCTGTCGCTATTTCAACTTTTACGGTAGTTTTTGCTCTTTTCAATTTTAATTTTTTATGCCTACATACTTAGCCTTTAACTCCGCTGTTTCCACCCTGATATGCGTTATGTTTTTAGAGCAGCAGTTTGTTGTATCGTAAAAATTTTTCGCTCGAGCTATTTTTTAAGGTTTGCCTCTGCTGCGAGAGTCCCGATAAGTGGAAGGCGACTTGTTCTGGTGATCGACAGGCAACAACCGACAGCAATACATCAGCACAAATGCTGCGTAACTTTTGTTGTTATTGTTGTTCTTGTCAGTCAGCTCGTGCAACTCTTATTATACGAGCAACTTGCGCTGGCCTTTTAAATACATACATATATATATATATATATATATATATATATATATATGTATGTATTTAAAAGTACATACATATACACGCAGAGTTGCCTTCAACGCATAATAGCCTTTTGTTCGCATTTTATTACACTCGCCGAGCTTGATCGTTGCTCACTCACGATGGCCGCCGTCATGCAGTAACTACTAAATGCTGCTCACACCAACAACCACATCAACAACAGCAACACAACTACAGTTACAATACTCATAAAGCCAGTTAAAACAACAACACTGCAGTAACCACGCACAGTAATGACACGAAGAATGCGCTTCGCATCAATAAAACTAATAACCGTGAAAGCAAATTTGAAGGAGGATCTCCACAGCGCTTTTGCATTTCGCGTCTCCGCTTTGATCTTTAAACAGCAAAAAACAACAACAAATTCATGTTTCAGAACTCCGCCAACGTACACAAAACGATATTATTTTAACACCTTGCCGTTGGCTCCGACGTGTGTGCAACAGGTTGAAAAGCTTGCAAGTAAACGATGGAGATGAGTTTGGTTCATCGAGTTGAATATTTTAGAAGATAATTTTCAAGGTCAAGGCGTACAGACTTGACCAAAGTATTGCCGTTGATGGCGTTTAAATTCCGACCCCCACATTTTAGGTGTGGCACTAGACAGCCTGTGCTCATTCACTCTTCATGTGACGGCAATTATTGTCAAAGTACAGAGTACATACAACAACAACGTATTGGCAACATACAAGATAATCGAGTGCTCGGTCCTTAACTACGCCGCAGCAATGTGGACGCTTGGGTATAGGAACGCAGATGAGAAATCTTCTGACATGTCAGCACACTGTCCTCCACTTGATGTCTCCTATAGAACAGCTGCACGAGGAGCTCCTATAACCACCTCTTTGCATGCCCAGCTAACCCTACACATCTGATACCAGAGCCTTCCGCTGGTTGACCTCGATGACAATTTATCTGTTGCTCGGAGGTTATGTTATTGCCTTGCGCAAAAATGCATGCCAAAGTTTGTGAAGATATCTAGTCAAATAAAAAGTTTTCTCTACAAGGACGTGGCTTTGAGGGGTCAGTTTGTATGGCAGCTGTTTACAATAGTAACTCGATGTCGGATATATATTGTTTAGGATATTCAAGACTTCAAACTGGGTATTACAAATATATGTTGAAGATATAAAAACAAAACATAAGCCACAAAATAAAAAGGCAAGCTTGAAATCTGATACGCGAGTATAACAGCCACACGTAATAGCGGTATTTATATCATTTCCACCGAAACTTGTGTTTCCTACGCCACTCACACACAATCGATCAATCAATTGAGACACCAACACTAGTCATTACTTTGAGTGCCAGTAACTCACAACTTCTCGAAAGTGATAACAAACTAATTAGAAGCGTGTAAGTTACTGGAATAGCTCAGCTTCGAGGGTGGCCGCAGGCAGTGCAACACGCCGATGAAAGTTGGACAAAGCGGCTCCCCATTATACACAATACCAAAGTCAAATAAATAAAAAATCAAAAAATCAAAGGAAAAGGAGAAAGAGTTTGCATGCTTAATTTTTAATTCAGTCGATTTTAATCATCATTAAATCAAGCAGAAAACGGCGCAAGTTTCAAATTTCAATACTAATTTTGTTCGCCTCACAAATTTAAATCACAGATCAGCAATAACAGCTAAACAACAACTATGAATGGCATAAAATACAACACGTTTTGTATTTCATGCTTGTTTGTTTGTGTTTGTGTTTGTGTAATGCCATCTATGTGTATATAGCTTCTCGTACTAAATAGATTAATGAAGCAACAAAGTCAATGAGTTGCTGGCGGCAATTATCGCGTTGTCTATTTCGTATCCGACAACGATGCGTGGCAAATGAAAGAGTTAAGACACAAACTTGTTGTATCGACAGCGACTAGTATGGCCAATCACTTCCTTGTGATAATGCGATTTTGCATGGTGAATTATGTTTACAAAATTTCGGGATTATTTTATTTCTTTTAATTGAAATTTAAATGAATCTCTTTGAAATTTAATTGAATTGCTGCGGTCGCTGCTTCGACTAATTGGGTTTGACGTTTCGGAAATGAATAGCTAATAAGAGCATAAATAATATTACGGAGGTCAGCATTCTACCCTAAACAGGGAAGAGGAAGCACAGGATTCCCTATAAAATATATATTGAGTAGTCGAAAGAGTATTTTCGTATTTGGTCAATCGATGTTGTTGCAGTCGTAAATCTCTACAGCTACCAACTACATTGTGTCACATTTAACCAAAAAATCTAATACGGGGAAATTGAAAAGTTCGTGTAGAACAACAATGGTTCGTGCGCTTCCGTTCTGGGAATTTTGAAATTTCAATTTACACTGATGGAATAATGTCTCTAGTTGGAAAATATCAAAAAGGGCGACCAAAATGTCTATTTATTTATTATTACTCATAAATATTCAAAAATATAAGTTGACATTTGTTTAGAAATACGAAAAGACTTTTTCGACTACCCAATATGTGCAAAACAATAACACTCATTTACCTGTGTGTGGCATATTTCGCGTATTTATGCCCAGCGGTATCTCAGTCCAGCGACTAATGTTCCGGCCTCCACTGCCGCCCACACCACCAGCACCAGCAGCTGCGGCGCCAGCACCACCACCACCACGTCCACGTCTCTGCACGGCGGCTTGCGTCAATGCGTCGCTGCAGCTGATTGACAGCAGCGTATCCAGCGTTTGTATAATCACTCACGCGCTCACCACCAACACACCAACACAAGCAACCACAGCGCTCGCCGGCTACTTCTATTTCGGGCCAGTGGTTACACTTTTAATGGCGGCTTATCGCTACGCTTTAATCACTCGCGCAATAAAATTAGAGCTGAACTATTTTCTTCTTCTTTTTTCACTGTTTTGGTTTTTTATTTCCCAATTTCGTTTTCCGTGTTTTGTAAACTTCTTAAGGTTTATTGCAGTATGGCGTCGCCGCTGAGATTTATTTACACGCACGCATCCACAGTTGAGCTATGAAAAAGTGCGGCGCGCTGCGTATGGCGCGGTGTTGGAGCGTCTAATGCTCGACTGCAAAGTCGTTGGTTTATCAGTTAATTTGCAGACCTTGGAGTTGTTGCTCGCTGTTGCTTGGGTGCGGTCACTGCTTGGCTTTTTGTCTCGGGGCAAGTGTCTCCAGAATCCCGCGCGCAATCTCGCTTCACTCTAATATTGCAGTTAACAAATTTTTTACGCGTTCCACGAACTCATTTAATGTGCTGTAATTGGAAATTAGTGTGTTAGTTAGGCGTATTCTAGATTACACGGCTGATATTACATATGTATATGTTTTTAGATTTATTGTTGCGTAATAGTATGAAGTACTTTTGTGACTTGAGTGATTTTGTTTTGTAAACGCTAAGGTTCTACTAATTTTTGGGAAATGTTCTTATAAACTCTGTGGCTGCTGATTAGTCATGGATATGCGTATTTAGTGCCATTAGCAGCATTTTGGACGCACCCGTTCGTCGCCAGCAAATGCATTTTTTACTGCAACACAGCAGCTTCAACAAGCGCATTTAGTGCTCGTTAGTTTTTGTTCTCATTAAAGTTGTTCTAAAAAGCACTGAGCTTTATTGGAGGTTTGAAATTGACTCTTTGCTAGCCACTGCCTGCAAGAGTCACATTGTGGTAATTTTAGTGAGGCTAAAGTGGCTTAAATTTCGAGTCCTTCACATGTCAAAAACTTTTCCTTATATTTTGATACCTTTTTCATTAATGGAGTTCTTATCCTATTAATATTTGTAAATACCTGCCAAAGCTGGGTGCAGAGCCACAAATTATGTGAATGTAAGCATCACAATAATTTAGATATTAGTCAAGAATTTGTTTATTTACAAATTTTGAAAAAGAAAAATTCAAGCTACTTTTGTCTTTATAAATGTATTATATGTAAAAAAGCAGGTATCTTACAAAAGTGACTAAAAATAACTACGCTATTGTCAGCTTCAGCTCTTGCAGCTGCAAAGATGTTTATCGAAGCTGCAGCTAAATGCAATTATAAGCGACTCTTATCTGGATGTCTTGCATTTGAAAATATGTGTTTAAGAAATTGCAAAGTTCGAAAAACTAGTGTAAATGTGATCCTAAGCGTTAAAAAGAATGAATTGACATCACACCCTTATTTTTTCTGGATGAAATGCCAGTTCTTGAATCTCTTCAGCTGATTCATCCTCCCATATTCAACAATTTTGATTTTCTTATATACTCATTGAACCAGAAATGGGCCTCATCGCCGAACAAAATTTGGTTCGAAAACGTTGAATACTCTTGGAGCTTTTCGAACGGTTTCAGTAATGACACAATCTGTATTTTGTACGCTTTCAATTTAAGATCTCGACCTAATGTACGAATAGTCGTTCCATACAATAGTCCGAGCTGCTGCGAACGAATACTGACCAAAAATAACATGACAGCTTGACACAACTCAAACGTGATCTGTAAAAAAAAATGCTATTGAAATAGTACCTACTAGGATTACCCGTTATTTCGTCTATTATAAAGAAATTTTAGATAGTTTAAATAGTTTTCACGTCTGTCTGTATCAACCTCTGACAAAACATAAAAAAGTTACGTGACACAAATCTTTATTAACGGTGCCATAAAAGGTGAGTAATATAACTGAAAGATGACTCTGCATAATGGAATTTGACGACGCATTATTGTGGAGCAAAATTCATTAACTTCCTGCACATAAACCCAGTAGTTCACTTCGAATTTCGTTCAAATAGATATCTCAAAATGGTTCCTGTTCGACCCTGGAATGAATTAATGGTGAACCACAATGATTCCATCAAAGAAAACAATGACCATTATCTTGATTTTCGACTGAATTTGACATTAACCAAACTGTGTTAAGTCGATCCATAAGATATGTTGAGTTCTTTTGCTATCTCTCTGATGCGATAACGCATCTTTAAAGTATAGTTTCCTTACCCATTTCAATGTTATCTTTCCTAACAAGTTTTCGGTTAAAATTTATTTCAGATTTATGGACATACACAAACAATATTATCAAAAGATAGAATTTGAAATCACAGAAATAATATTTTTTAAACTATTACCAAACAAAAAGGATCGTAACTAAACAAGAAAAAAAAATTAATTAGATTTTAAAACATGAGTGTTTAAATTAAGAGCTCAACTTGTTCTTTCAACTAAATTGTTATGAACTTTGACTAATTTCTCGTGATCGGGCCAAGCAATCAACACGTACAACTTGGGACACGGCTTCTAATGCTCTGCGGCGGTCCGACGAAAGTTAATTGATTTGTCATTTCGTGAGGCGTATTAAGATACTGTGTCTACCACCACATATGCAAATGTGTGTATTGATGATGGTTCACAGCTGGGGCCACAGCTTAGCAGCAATTTGGGGCCAACTTAACTCAAAATAAAAACTTAGCGAGCAGCAGGCACACCAACCAAACTGAAGATACAAACTGCGTTTTGTTATTGTTGTTGCCGTTGATATAGCGATATGGTGAAATGCGGGTTTTTGTGAATGAATAATATTAATGCGTATAATTGTGTATAATTTCATTCCACTTTGCTCTGCTTTGGAGCGTTTCATACTCCACGCTCCACGCTCGGCGCTCAAACGCTCCGACGCTTAAGCGCTTATTACCGTAACGAAGCTGATGCCGCGTGTAGCGCCTTCTTCACAACAGGCAGCGGAGCTCCCACTTTTTCAGACGCGTTTATGTAGACATAACAACAAACAAATTAACCGCTTAATCACAATATTTTAGACTAAAAGTTAATGTTTAACTGCGCACCACTTGGGAAACGGCCATTTAACAGCTTCGGCATTATGAGTAGTAAGCTAAAAGTAACTACTTTAAAGGTAGAAAATATTTACATCCTCAGTTTTTCTATTTTTGTTCGCATGTGATGCTGTCGCTGGCTGTAAATGGTGGCAAGTGGAGAGACGAACGTTGGGTTGGAGACGCTCACGACTTGTTTGTAATCGCAGCGCGTTTAGCGGTTTCAAACTGTCAGCTTTATGTACATATGTGTGTGCAAATGTGCTTGATTTAGCCCTAACTTTTTTTTTTCAATAATTCATTTCTTACTTTGCGTGCATTTAAATACCGAATAAAATCGAATATTTCGAAAAGCCGCTGCAAAAAAAAAACAAGTCCAACTTAATACATTATTCAAAGCAACAATTAACTCACTGAGTGATGGTGGATATTAATTATGGCCTTTCAATGGGTATTACTATCATATTCGACAGATGTTGTTTGGGTTTTTGAGATTTTTTGAGTTTTTGTTTTTGCGATTACTCATGAATTGCAAATGCATTGAGAAGAGACAATGTTGTATTTGCAACGAAATGTGTTATGTATAAATGTGTGTACTATGTTGGCAATCACAAATTTTAATTAATAATGGAACTAGGTAGATGTCAGTGGGAATGGTTTGGCTTCGGTTTTTGTGTTGTTTTTTGCAAATCTCTTTGATGAATTTTTACATGAAGACTCTTTTGCCGATTCAGAAGATATTTTGTGTTTTAGATTTCTGTTTAAGGAATAGAGGTTTGTGATCACAATTGTGTTTTAAGCAAGTGTTTGTTGCCCTTTCTGACTGACATTTGTTCTAGTCGGTGCAGAACGCTCTCTCTTCTGTTCAGACTAAAACGATGAATATAAAATTGACTTGTTTGGTTTTTGACCGACAAGCCGACGCATGTTTTAGGGACAAAATTCAAAAATTGCCAGAAAGATGGGAAAATGTTATAGCTTCAAACGGGCAATACCTTGAATAGTACTATTGAAAAGTTTTCGGAGCTATGTTGACTTAATATACACGTGAATAAGTCTAAAACTGCACCGGAACCATAACCAAAGCAATCATATTTCATTGAGTAGACCAATAAATCGTCATCTCAAATGCCAAACAACGTATTATCAAAAAGATCTACATTGTGTTTTCATTGCTTACGATTCACTACATCATATTACATACATACATATATGTAAGTACAATAAAATTTTCAACTTCAAATATAACCAACACATAATCATTTAATAACCAAAACTTATTTTTTTTTTCAAAATGAGTGGTCTCTATTAAATCGCTTATCCTTCGCCTGCAAACTTATGAAAAGTGATGTTATGTTATTTTGCATTTTAGGTGACGCTATTTACGACTCGAACAATGCTGCAGAATCTTTGAGTATATTCTGGGTAGTCGAACAAGTTGTATTTCTAATCAAATTTCAACTTATTTTTTTACTTCTAATAATTAAGTCAATTAGTAAAAATATATGGCAATCGATTCCGTCAACATTCTAGAGCGGACAATGCTCCAATTAAATCCAAATCAAAAATTTGAAATTTCCATATGTAATACTTGAACTACAAATTTATGCTTGACTTCAATATTTCACACCAGTATTAGCAATTTTAACACCTTCTTAAGCAGCTAATGGCTACATTTAAATACAGATACAACAAGTAATCAAGCATATAGATTACCTCGTTGATGCAAACAAACGCCCACATCAAATCATCCACATCTAGAGAATGAATAAATGGAACAAAGCAAATC